GGGCGCTCTATTGGCTGCCGAGCGCAGCGAAGGCGGACCCCATTGGCTAAAATCATCATTGTGTTTTGTACACAATGTATGTGGACTACACATCGTACTTAAATGCACCGCTCAAATTTCATTTCGCTCCTGCGGTTCGCAAGGCCACGCAAAGGGCGCTGCCTGTGTGTGCGTTAGTTAGTATTAGTAGAAGGCGCCGATGAGCACACACGTACCATATCGTCGTAGGAGCTGTTGAAAAAAATTGTAGGCTTTGGTGACGCATATTTCGGACTCAATCGAAACTTTAGTACTTATTTGTTTTAGAGTGCTATTTTAGGCTTCGTAGTACTTATAAATAATAAAACTTTCAAAACTTTTGAGTAATACTATTTTTAAAGAATTTCATATTTTTGCTTGCGGACGTTTATAGCAGTACTACAAAAAATTAGTTCGTTGCGCAAGAAAAAAAACGCATGCAATTACTAATACTAACCAATTTAAACCAAAGTACCGGTATTATATTTGCGTTAGATAAAGATGCACAATTTATTACCACTATTAAATACTTGACCATTTAAAATTTAAAGATAGTGGCTTCCACCATCCCCCACAATCCCACCCCACATAACCATGTACACCACTCCGCCGCCGAAAAAAAAGGATCATATTCCTTTGTATTTGCGTGCGTAGTGTACGACCTTAAGAGATTGTGCGCACTTTCCAACACGATATGTAGCATACACCAAACAAAATAAAAGCAGTGTTTGCGATTGAATTAGCGCGGAGGCAAGTGGATAAAGAAGAACACGAAACACGGAGGAACACCGAGACAGACTATGTACACGATGGGATAGAAGGAGCGACACGATGCACGGAAGGCTACGAACGTTGAAAGAGGACTAAATCAATGAAGGCACCTAACGATTCTGATAAGCACAAACCACGGACGAGCACACTACCATGAAAACTTGGAATGGCAAGAACATGACGGGAGCGTACAGATGACGGAATATAATTGGCACCCCAACAAGTTGAAAAACACGGTCTACGAAAGAGCCTGCACCTTCGAAGCCACGGTAAACCCATAACGCTAAGCGTGCACGGACAGGAATTATCTTATATCACCACGGTAGAATACGGAGCACAGTAGACCGACCAAATATGAAGCCACGGTAGACCATTAAGGGAGATCACCAAGCATTGGAACACGATAATAGGGTAGAATCGGAGCTCTCTGGCTAGCGCGATACTACCGTACCTTGCGAAAGCAAGGGCGACAGACCAACCGCGACACTACAAGTAAGCACGGTAGCATGGACTGTGGTACTAAGCCATGGGAGAACGCAGTCGCGAAGCTATACACGGAAAATCACAGCGCCGCGGAGAACGATACCAGTGTTAAACCTGAGCTTACCGAGCCACGGAGGACAGTACTACAATAGAATTAGATTGCACGGACGGCGGACCAGCAACGAAATAAACGGGGAGGTGGGCGCTTGGGGTGACCACGACTGCACACTGTGGAGCACGATGCCATTGTAGAACACGATAACACGGACAACGCAGATACACTATGTAGCACAATACCATAGACAGCATTACCACACCGTAATTGCACGATAGTGTGATACCGCGGTCGATGGAACCTCACCAAGAGAGCACGATACACGGACGACGGAACAACACGACTGCATGGAGACACCAAGCCACGGAATAGCACGCTTCGGCTAGAGCACCGGCGATGGAAGGCCAACGGCCACGAAATAGTATCTATCACGAAGTCAGTTCAACCCACATAAACGTTTGAGAACAGAGAAAAGTTAGCATTTACGAAAAGGCCGTACTAAAGGGCGTGAACCCACAAGAGAGAGAGCATAACCGCAGCGTGGGCCACGAGTGAGTAGGAACCACGAAGCCGGGAAGAGCACCAAAGAGCATGGGCCATTGAAGAAAGCAGCATCCAACCTGTAATACGGGGTAGCGGAAACGTTCCAAACCACGATATTATACGGAGCCGAATGAGACTACGGAAAGGCAAGTGGTTAAATACACGATGCCACGACGTACTGGGGTGAACGACGCATACAAAGGATGCGACACCAAGAAGCACTTAAATTTGGGGCCATCACATCTCCAACAAACCATGCCACTCCGCCGCGTAGCGGTTGCGAACGGCTAGTCCTAAACTATCAATGCTAGCACGGTGTCTGTCCGTCCGTCACACGAAACGCTCAGGTTTTTGAGCCTTATCATTGGCTGCCGAGCGGAGCGAAGGCGGCTTCAATTGGTTAAAACTGAATTATGTAGCTTACATCAGTAAATTCATGTGGTTCACAGAGCACATATGGAGATTTGCACAAGACTATCCATAATCCGATGGCGGCATCGTTTAAATACTACGAAGTTTTAATTTGTACTATTTTAATATGGGATGCTGCTATTAATATTTGAGTGCTTCTTATTCTCAAATGAAATAGTACAAGGTGCTTAGCGTGCACGTATGAATGCGTGTTTTGGAGGCCATACTATAATATACGTATACTATGTACTTAATAGTTTATGCAATGTACTGTACAATGACTTTAATAGCTACAACTATTTTGTTGTAGATATATTATCTAATTATCTGAGAGTGAGGTAACTACTAAGCCGCCAAATCGTAGTACATGTACAACAGAAGAGATGGCCGTAACAGCTGGCCGTAAGAACAACGTTGGTTGTCCAACGCGTTCGAGGGGTATCCGGTGCTTTCCGCCAAGGGGTCTGCGGAACTTTCACGCTACATGTGCTAACAAAAAGCCGACCACACCCACGGCTCAACTCGCGGCAATCTCATGATGGGGCCGCCGCCACGCCTCGCCCAGGTGTGGCAAAATGCAACTCAATCAATTTGCCCCAACGTGACTGTTGAAAATTGCTGGTTGCGGAGGCAACGGCAACATGAGATGTGCAAGTTGCCGACGAAGGCGTATTTTCCCGATGTCGCAGCTAGTTATATTTAGTCATGTAGGAGCTCGAGAAGCTCAGTTGCTTCCAGCTCACTTTCGCTTTCTTTTCGCAGCTAACCTCGCAAACGTTGTCACTTGATTCACAAAGATAGAAAGTTTTAGATTATGACTTTTGAATCAGCACAAAATGAAGGCTGCATGCATAAAATTTTTACAATTCGAAAAAATTATAGCTTTCAGTGAGTTTTGTGTGAGAAGTTAGCAATTTTTAGTTACTAACAAGCTCAAATAGGCAGTACAAGAGAGTAAGAAGTGCAACCTGGATAGATCATTACTGTCCTTTGCATTGATGCGGGCTAAGTTTCACAGCGCCTCAGAACGGCCCATGATATCGAGCACGACGCCAAGCTAAATATATTCAATATCGTTTGTAGACATGCTATTTGAAGTGCTGGTGATTCTTGAGTTGGGTACATACTCGCCGTTAATGCCAGCACGACACGGCAAGCATGTGCCCGAGTCAACACGGACTGTATGATGCTCTCTAGGTAAACCTATCAGACTTCATGAAAGTAGCGATGACTGACGAATACGCCAGTACTTATGTAGTAGCCAGCAATAATAAAGAGACTGTGTCAAGATCACCAGAATAATAATTTTTAAGCATGGTAAGTGTGAACTGGGAGCTCAGCATTTTGTAGTTGAAATAATTATCCCGCCGAAGCGAAGCGGAGGCGGCAAGGCCAAAGCAAGTAGAGCTAAGCCTAAGCTACCGCCGCTACGCGGCGGCGCTCGGCTAGTAAGTTACCTATAGAAATGCAATGTCATTTAACCAATGGTTGGCTTTGAACGAGGGTACACTTAGGGCTACGTACCCCGTTACAACCGCTCTCCATGCCCCCAACAAGGTTATTAATAAAGCTTACGACTGAAGAGTGAATGTCGGTAACAGATGCAGAGCTGCATGAGTGCCCGAGCTGTCGGGTTTCCCATGACAAGCTGCGAAGAGATAATAATATTGATGTATAAACACATGCAACATGTACGACATGGCGCAAGATTGACTATTATAGGAAAAACGATTCAAAGGGTGCTAAAACAGCTGCGGCTGTTTCGCGCGGCGAGATGGATACAGTCCTGTGGCGACCCCGCCGAACTCGATATGGCTGCCTTGTACCGTATGGTTGGCACGGGTGGAGTGGTTGCCGCAATGCCCAAAGGATACATAAAGTGAATCGGCAACGACGACGGTAGCCGGAAAGCCGCACCCTACGGGTGTTTGCGAGCCAGGGTGCACAAAGGAGTCAGTGTGCTGCTTTAGCAGAGGAAAGAAGCGCAGGGAGGAAGACCAGGCGGGAGCTGCTTGTTCGATTGAGCATCCAGCGATGCAGCCAGCAGTCGATGAAGGAGAAACTCTGAGCGTTTGTAGCTAGGGTTAGGTAGGATCGTCTCGAACTTTTTCGCAGGCTTTGAGGAAGAATTGCGTCTTCGAGATTATTCGCATCGCGTGCATGCCGTCCTCTCCGTCCGTGGCGCACTCACCGCCACTGCATGCAGCGCTACGCGGGCGCTTAAGTTGCAACCATCAACGTGCAGACACGGCTTGCTATTGCTTCATTCGGGAAGATTCGTACACCGTGTCGCACGTTTCGGGCGTTGAGTGTCTGCCCTGTCGCTGCGAAAGGGGTAGGTCAATCCCATCTGCCCTTTGCCAGGCTTTGCCTAAGAAAGCAAGCGCATGTCCGGCGAAAAAACTGACGACAGCAAAGTATGGCGCTCGGTGTTCAACGCACCAATGCGATGCATGTGTATGCTTGCATTGTGCTGATTCTACCTGTGTGGGAGGCTGCGAGAGAGAGCGAGACTGCGCTCGAGATAGGTGTGAACCAGGGGGCAACGACCGTCGACGTCTGCAGGCGAACCCCACCCCACGGCGGTCGAAAAAAAGAAACGGGGACCGACCCGCTTCAACACGGTACGATACAGGCAGGCGCACCAGCAGCCAGCAACCGAACCGCAGGGCAGTGGATGCGCCCGCTCCCAGTCCAACCTCACTTCCAATCCCAGCAGCGACCGCGGCGACGACACTACCCCTTTGACTAGCTGCCAGTTTCATCCATCCACCTTGTTATCAGCACGTGCCACCCCAAGACAGTAAGGCACAGACAGACACGAACATCGACGAGCGGATCCGCGTTCATGGCGTATCCGTACCAGTACCACACACAGACGGCGGCGCTGCAGAGCCCCAGCAACGCCGCCTTCGCGCGCACCGATCCGCTTGGTGATGCCAGTCAGCAGCGCTTCACGTGTAAGTATCTGTGTTGCTGTTGTAGTTGTTGTAGCTTGATACTGGCAGCTCTGTAGCTCACTTGGGCCTATCCGTCGTATCTCCCTTCCTCCATGGACGGCGCAGATCTGTTCAACCTGGCGCACCAGCAGTACGCGGCCGGCTACTACCAGGAGGCGCTGCGCCTGTGCGAGCAGCTCTACGAGTCAGACGCGTACCGCACGGACAACCTGCTGCTGCTCGGCGCGCTGCACTTCCAGCTCGGGAACCTGTCGGAGAGCATCTTCTACAATCAGCAGTGCATTCGCGTGGCGCCCGACTTCGCAGAGGCCTACGGAAACCTGGGCAACGCGCTCAAGGAGCTCGGGGACGTGGCCGGCGCCGTGCAGTTCTACGTGCGCGCGATCAAGTTGAACCCGCGCTTCGGAGACGCGTACAACAACCTGGCCAACTGCTACATGCTGCTGGGCCAGACTGAAGAGGCCGTGGAGACGTACAAGATGGCCATCATGCTGGACCCGCGGCTCGTGGACGCGCACAGCAACCTGGGCAACCTGTACAAAGTGCAGGGCCGCCTCGTGGACGCGAAGCACTGCTACGCCCAGGCCATCCGAGTCAAGCCGAGCTTTGCCATTGCCTGGAGCAACCTGGCGGGCTTACTGAAGGACGACGGTCAGCTCGACGCCGCGGTCGAGCACTACAGAGAAGCGATTCGGCTCGCGCCGGACTTCGCAGACGCGTACAGCAACTTGGGCAATGCGCTCAAGGAGTCCGGCCGAGTGGACGAAGCCATCCAGGCCTACAAGTCGGCGCTGCAGATCCGACCGAACTTTGCTATTGCTCATGGCAACTTGGCCAGCTGCTACTACGACGCAGGCCAAATGGAGCTGGCCATCCACACGTTCCGCCACGCCATCCAGCTTGAGCCAAACTTCCCGGACGCCTACAACAATCTGGGCAATGCCCTGCGTGAATGCGGCCACCTGGAGCAAGCCGTTACGTGCTACCGGACTGCGCTGCAGCTCAAGCCAGACCACCCGCACGCCTACAACAACTTGGGAAATGCCCTGAAAGACAAGGGGCTGGTGAAGGAGGCGCTGCATTGCTACACGACGGCGGCGCGTCTGCTACCGCAATTCGCAGCGGCTCACAGCAACATCGGCAGCGTGCTGAAGGAACAGGGCAAGCTGGATCAGGCTCTGGCCCACTACCAACAGGCCATCACTATCGACCCCAACTTCGCTGATGCATACAGTAACATGGGCAACGTGTTCAAGGACCTATGCCGTCTCGAGGAGGCCATCCAGTGCTATTCGACGGCTATTCGTCTCAAGCCGCAATTCCCCGATGCCTACAGCAACTTGGCCAGTGCGTACAAGGACGGCGGCCGTCTGGACGACGCTATCACGTGCTACCGTAAGGCTCTGGCGCTACGTCCTCAATTTCCGGACGCGTTCGCCAACTACTTCCACTCGATGGTGTTTATCTGTGACTGGCAGTCCCGTAAACAGGACACGGAGACGCTACAGCGCTTTGTGGACGAGCAACTGAGTGTGGCTGATGTGCTGCCGTCCGTGCAGCCATTCCACGCGCTGGTGTACCCGCTGTCGATGCAGCGCTTCCAGGACATTTCGCGACGATACGCTGAGCGCGCCAAGATGAACGTCCAGCTAGTGGAGCTTTCGCCTATGCGCTTTAAGAGCAAACGCGCGTCGGAGCGACTGCGGATTGGCTATGTGTCCTCGGACCTGGGCAACCACCCGCTGGCGCACCTTATGCAGAGTGTGTTTGGCATGCACGACGAGCGCAAGTACGAGGTCTTCTGCTACGCAACGTCGCCCGACGACGGATCAATCTGGCGCAAGCAGATCTCCGGCAGTGTGGAGCACTTCGTGGACATCTGCGCGCTGTCGAACGGTGACGCTGCACGCACCATCCACGCCGACGGCATCCACGTTCTTGTCAATCTCAACGGCTACACGAAAGGCGCGCGGAACGAGATCTTTGCGCTCCAGCCTGCGCCTGTCCAAGTGAGTTACATGGGCTTTTGTGGCACTCTGGGGGCCGACTACATTCACTACATGGTGGGTGATGCCACGGTAGTGCCTCCCGAGTACCGACGCTACTTCACAGAGAAGCAGATCAACATGCCGCACTCTTACTTTGTCAACGACCACAAACAGTCGGCGCGAGACGTGCTGGACACTGAAAAGTGCCCTACCCGAGCGGATTATGGCGTGCCCGAGGACAAGTTTGTCTTTTGCAACTTCAATCAGGTGTACAAGATCGACCCCGTCACGTTCACGACATGGATGAACATTCTCAAGCGCGTCCCCAACTCGGTGCTGTGGTTGCTGCGCTTCCCGCCGATTGCGGAGGCCAACATCCGTGCTGAGGCTCGAGCTCGTGGCGTCAAGGACCAGACGCGTCTGATCTTCACGGACGTGGCCCCCAAGGACGAGCATCTGAAACGTGGCTACCTGGCTGATCTGTTCCTAGACACACCCGAGTGCAACGCGCATACGACCGGGTGCGACATCCTGTGGGGCGGTACTCCGATGGTGACGATGCCCAAAGATCGCATGGCCACGCGCGTGGCGTCAAGTCTGCTACGTGCCGCCAATATGAGCGAGCTGATCACGAACTCGCTAGAGGAATACGAAGAGCTCGCGGTGGCTTTGGCCAGCGACATGGATCGACTGTGGGAACTTCGACGGCGGCTGGAGGAGGAGCGTCTCAACTGTCCGTTGTTTGACACTCAGCGTTGGGTGCGCAACTTGGAGACGGGTCTTTGCATGGCCTGGGAGCGCCACGAGAACGGACTCGCACCTGACCACATCGACGTGCCCGATATTTATGACCTGGAACAGCAGAAGTCAAAGAAGCACAAGGCCATGACGGGGAATCAGGCTCCTGCTATTGCAGGACACACGAACAGCCACCAAAGTATCAGCAACGGCTCCGTCGGCAGCAGTGCGCTACCGATGAGTGCGTTGTTGTCCGGTGGCCTACCATCAGCTACGTGACCAACCCGCGCTTACGAGCAACAATAAGTTTAAGGAGTTTAGTTACTACGTGAGTCACGTACTCCACCCCACCACCTTTTTTTCCGACAATGAAGCGCTGTTGCAGCGACCAAATGAGTTTTTTTTCTTCTCTTCAAGTTGCCATTCTCTGGTCTTGGCTTCCTTCTAATCGTTCCTCGTGTCACTCTCTTTGGGTGAAAACCAGCACTGCCATCCCACCTACCAACAGGTACTTGAGCACGGGGTAATCGTTCAGCAAAATAGTCAGCATGCCAGCGTACGGGACCGATCTGCAATAAAATCACAACAGCAACAAGTGAGTTCGCAGTCCGTTCGAACGAGGGTTAAAAGTGTCGGGCGTACGCTCTTGCGGTGCCCACAATGTCCTCGCGCTCAAGCCATGACTGGCCGTACGCATATAGTCCACTGCATAACCATCACAACAAATGGCATTGTTAGACTCTCTCTTGGGCTTTATCAATGACACCAGCCATTACAACTGCAGTCGTACCGATCGTCCACGTTGTTGTTGTCACCCTTCGTGAGGTAGACCTGATATCCATCTTCCGCCCTGCAGTTAAAATAAGTTCGATTAAGGGAGGTTGTACCTTCGTCTAGGCAGCAATCGCCGTACCGTTCGTGCAGTTCCAGCACTCGATGCACGATGGGGATATCTCGACCCTTGACCTTGTACACGACGATGTCTCCAATCTCAAGCTGCGGCTTCTGCGCTCAGGTCACAACAAGCGTCAGTAAGAGGCATGGTCGGTGTTAAGAGCACAAAATTTTTAAGTACACACGGACCGTGTTGTCCAGGTACAGGATGTCGCCGCGTTGGAAGGCCGGCTCCATACTGCCACTGAGCACGACGACGACAGGCGACTCGCTCTGCGTGTAGACCATGAGCCCCTTCCAGATCATGAGCGCGGTCAGCACCACCATGGCCAGGTTCAGGCCCTGGTGGGCCAGCTGCCGCTTATTGGCCCACAGGCGCTTCACGTCGTCCACCTGCTGCTGCAGCATCTTTCTTCCGCGAGCTGCCACGTAGTGATGCGATAGAAATTGTCAATGGTCTTGATCTATCGTCTTGGGCAGGTTTTTAACCAAAGTCAGATATAGAAATACAACGCACCACACGCTGACCCGCATGATACGTCTGGAGCGACTCGTGCAGCGGCTTCAGGCTTCTCCTGCCCCCATCGGCCAACGCCGAGGCGTACTCACCATTAAGAAGTTTACGCGGACCGAAGCTTCGCTTAAGCAGGCAAAGTCTAAGGCCGGCGCAGCAGTTTCCGATGGCATTGAGGCCACCCCAAACGATGCAACGACTGCAGGTACGCCATCCACCGTGCGGCTGGCCAAACGAATCGCCATGTCAGGCCTGTGCTCGCGGCGGGAGGCTGAGAAGCGCATCCAAAGCTTTGACGTGACGGTAAACGGGCACGTGGTGGCCGATGTAGCTACAAAAGTGGACGCAGAGAAGGATGTCGTGGCAGTTGACGGCCGTGTGCTGTCCAAGACGCAGAAGACTAAAGTCTGGATGGCCTACAAAATGAAAGGGGTGAGTGGCTGCACACGAGGACAAAGGTAGACGCACGAGGACTAACCGACTCTTGTGTGCGCAGGAATTGGTGACCAACAGCGACCCACAGGACCGAGCAACGATCTTCGACCGACTGCGGGTAATGGGCCTCACACAGCACATGATGCCGGTGGTAAGTGGCTACAAGAAGGTGCAAAAGTGGGCGCGTAAGACTCAACTGCTTGATGCTGTATAACAGGGCCGACTTGACTTCAACACAGAGGGATTACTACTCTTCACTAACGACGGAGACTACGCAAGGGAGCTGGAACACCCCAAGACGGGCGTCTCTCGTGTATATCGTGCGCTGGTGCGTGGCAACGTGGCCGAGTCGAAACTGGAGGAGCTGAAACGAGGGCCGCTGGTGGACGGCGTCAAGTATCGACCCATTAAGGTGACAGTGCAGTCTACCGACAAGAAGGACTCGTGGTTGCAAGTGAAGGTCGCTGAGGGAAAGGTAACGCTATGGGCAAATGGCAGTTAAGTAAAACAGAGTCCTCCTGCTCTAACGATACTGTCTCCTGATAGAATCGCGAGGTCCGAAAGGCGCTGGCTCACGTGCGACTGGTGGTCAAGCAGTTGATTCGTGTTCAGTATGGGCCTTATCGCCTTGCTGATCTCCCGTCTGGCGCTGTGCTGGAAGTGCGTCCAAAGTCTCTCGAGAAGAAACAATATCGGAAGCGAGACGAAGACGAGCAACAACGGTAATGCTTCGTCTTGTCTCGACGTAAAGGCTTGCTGCTGCCTTTTAAGGTACTTTGCATAGAAACCCCAAGCCCACTCTCCTCTCTATTGTCTACACTGATTCCCCTCGACGTTTCGAGCGCTTTTTTTTATGCTTAGTTGTGCCCTTAGCTGCTCGCTGAAGGTTCATATACCCTGGTTACGGGTGGACAGCTCTAACATGCTGACGGACTATGTATTGTGTCTACAATTCAAAGGATTCTCGCTCACTACTGATGTTATCGCTGTCGAGTGATGAAGTGGTGTATCGGTCGTTGTCGCTTGGGGACTCAATGACGCGATACCAGTCCGGAACGTCAGTGCGTGAGATGGAGCTCTTTGTGGTGACGGGGGCTTCTGTGCTGGGCGTCGTCTGGATGGGAGCAGGGGTGACAAATGAAACTTTACTGTGCTTCCTTGCTGCGACCGACGAAGCCGTCGACGACGTGGACGAAGCGCGCGGCATGTCGAGATTTTTAGGAGCCTGGCGCTGGAACCATCCAGAGTTGCTTCGCCCGACTTCACTGGAGAGTCGAGACGACATGGAGTATCTGTCGCTCGTGGAATATCCGTCATTGGTTGAGTACCGCTCGTTTGTGGTGAAGGAAGCCTCGGAGTCGCCTTCGTGATGCAGCGAAAACTCTGAGCACCCACGGAAGCTGAGGCTCCTTTCTGGGGACAAGTTGGTGTCTCGGTTTGGCTGTTGCGGCTTTGTCGACCTGCTGGGAGCAGGGAGACTGGCAATCTGCGAGACTCGGTTGGCCATGTCGAACTCAGCAGACGATCGAGTGGTGGCGTTCATCTTGGCGCGAGTGTTTGCGGCTGGTGGCAGGTTTTGCGACGCAAAACTCGCTCCTTTAGCCTTCCAGACATCAGCATTTGATGTGATGGCTGTGGCGGGTGGGGACGTGATCTCTGCAGTGTCGGGTCCGATTGGTGTGCCGAGCTCTGGATCGTCGCGTCTTCGAGTTCTCCGCACGACGAAGAGGAGGCTCATTATGATGGCAATGCCGACTCCACCGAGCAGACACATGACGGTTAACTTAGTGGACGAAAGCCCGTCCAGAGTTCCAGTGGTGTGGTCCGACACGCTCTTCGAGGACGAAGATTGGGACGATGCACTCATGTTGCTGCCGTCGCCACTGCCTCGCAAGTTCTGTGGAGACGTCGTGTCCTGCAGATTTGGTCCCATGGATTCAGATGCGACCTGTGCGGTGGACGGCGGCGCTGTAGGTGTTGACGTGGTGGGAGGATCCGTACTTACAGCAACTGGAGCCGTCGTCACAATAGCTGCTTCCGTCGCAACGGGCGCCGGTGTCGATTCAGGAGGGCTTGTGGTGGGAGCTTCAGTCGCGACGGGAACTGTAGCTGCTTCTGTTGCCACTGGAGGTGTCGCTGGCGCTTCGGTGGCGACTGGAGTCGCTGATGTGGTGACTATCGGAGCTGCTGGTTCTGTCGCCATTGGTGTCATGGGATCCACTGGAGCTGCAGTATCAACCGCCGCCGCCGTCACCTCTGGATTCACCGCTGCTGATACAGTGCCAACGTCCTGCGCTTGAATGCCAGAAGACGAGATCAGCGCCAATGCCATTACTACTGCTACGTGTACCACTTTTCGTCGCTCAAGCCTAACCATCGTCTCTCTTTCTGTTGGCAAGGTGAGGCCCCTGGAGCAAAACGGACAGTGCAGTCGTCGTACAACTCACAGGATCGCCTCGACGCCTTACAAACCAAGCAGAGAGAAACTTCGAGTTTCCCCAGAACGATACTGGCACCAGAGAAAGCCAGCCGCACGTGGGACGAAGTTTCATAGGAAGCGGTGTGTGCCGTGTTCGTAACGTCAAATTTGCACAAGTAACCTCAACGCAACCGCCCACAAGCAAGGGCCTGTCCGTGCGGGGGACAGCAATAAGTCGCTACAAGGAAATGGCTACAGTCAGGTGCAGGTCCAGAACGTGCTGCAGTACGTGTGGCACCACGTCGAACACGGCTTTAGTGTTCTTGTCCCGGCATTGTATAGCGCTCGACTAAAGGTAGTTCCAAGTACCTTTACATTGTCGTACCAGATAGAGATCCTGCTCGAAGCCTCCATGACTGGGATCGTACGGAGGGAGTTCCATCCCACGTACAGTCCTTCACTAAAACGATCGAGGCATCCACCATATTCACAATTTGGGAATCACAAAAATGTCTGCAGTGGTAAAAAGAAGGACTTAAGTAACGAACGACTCGTGAGTTGCAGTCGATAGGGATCAGATAGGGACCCGATAGGGGATCTGATAAACCAGAGGTACGAGTAACTGCGAATAGAGATAGGCACTGTGTACAATCGACTACAAGACCGTGTTCTCCACGATCTGCGACGCCTGTGCGGCCATCGCATCAGGCTGCATCATAAGCTGCTGATGCATTTGCTGGATCTGCAATTGTTGCATCTCCTGGAGAGCTTGGGCTTGTTGCTCCTGCATCTGTTGCGACTGCGGGTGCTGCGCCTTATGCTTCGTGATGCCGCGCTTGCGGTCCAGCGCTTGCTGCTCGACTGTCTCCTTCAGCTTGCGAAAGGTAGCGCGAATGCTCTTCTTTGTGTGGTCATCGAACCGCAGTCGATCCAGTTCAGGTAGCAGCACTTTGAAGCACTCGACGAGCTTCTCGTTCGTCGCCGGCCCATCAACGGACTTTGCAGCTGACGATGACAAGCCCAACACATCCTCCACACTGCCTGTAGCCGTTGGCCCCGTACTGTCCCCTGTAGTCATCGTAGTCAGCGATGGTGTTAGACCCAGACCCGATGCGGCGGCAGCAGCAGCAGACGATGCTGACGCTTCGATGCGAGCGTGCAGCTCCTGTAGGCGCGGTGTCAACTCCGTCGGCGTCATTGTTACATGCTGCTTAGCACCGTCAGCGGCACTAGGCGACGTCTTCTTGGCTGTGGACTTGGTTTCATTGCCTGAAGTGTCCGGGACGGTGAAGACGAAGTCCGTTTCTTCCAGGCCGGCGCAATGGATGCCAGAATTCTCGTCGCGTGGGCTCACAAACTCGTCGATAGGCAGTGGTCGTAGGATCTCGAGAGCCGACACCGTGTCACAAATCTCCTTGTCGATGTCTTGTTCGATCGACTCGAACGCTGCCATCGTTTCCGAGTCAGGCTTGGGCACGAGAATCTCCGTAGCGGCCCAGCACTTGCGGATAATTTCCTCAGGGATCTCTTGCTTCCAGCAGTGACGTGCCCAACGCATGGCCTGCAGCTGTTCCACGTGGAAGACATCCTGTCGTCCTGCTTCGAAGCGGTCCAGCGCGTACAGCATGTGATAGCGACGATACCGGCGCTTAAACGCCGCGATGAGCCCCGCGTCCAACGGCTGCAGAGTCGTCACCGTCGCCATACTTGAGGCCATTGCCGCCATCGCTGCCGAGTGGTGGAGATCAGACACCGACGATGTCTGCACTTCGCTCTCCGGCTGCAGTTTCGTCGCAGTTTCCGTCGTCGCCTGGGCCTGGTCTGCTTCAGGCATGGGCGTGTCGTTCACGTCTGTCGCTGCGATGGACTCGGACAGAATGGCGTTCTCGCCTGCACTCACCTGTATAGACGTCTGCATGGAAACAGGCAGTGACTCCATCGAAGGCGGTAGAATCTCCAGACGCACATTAGTAAGCTCCAGTCCGAGTGTGACGTGAGACGGCGCAGCGGACACGAGCAGCAGAATGTAGCGACCCTCGTCTCGCATCCGCGTGTCGATAGCCGAGACAAAGTCCTGGAACATGACGGGTGTCATCCACGCGCGCTTGTTGTTCTGGTAGTGAAAGTTACGCGAGTCCGCCACGTCCAATTCCTCGGAGGGTTCAGGCAGTTTTCCGGGTCCGATGAACATGGGCTCCATCCTGTCGCTGGCGTCCGCGTTGACTGTGAACACGACGGTAAGTCGCTCGCCGCAGGTTTCCTTCCTCGCTGCGCGACCGCGTCCCGCGGGTTTCTCGGGTGACAGCTCGTAATAGAGACCGGTCTCGTGCATGCAGTAGACGTCGCGTGGGTCGTACACGCGCGTGACGCCCTGAAGTTGCTCGATTGAGCTGATACTGCTGGTCATACCCACGCCATTTACACCGTCCATGGCGGCAGCAGCGCTGCCCAGACGTATGTTGTATCTCTTCTTAAAGCCACCGAGCCAGCCATTAGAGAAGCTCATAGTGGACGCGATGCCGAGCTGTGCGGCGAGGGAGCGTGCCTGGCTCTTGATAATGTCGCCTGAAATTTTGAGTCCGTTGTGACGAGCGCAGAGCACCCAGTTACACAATGCCGTGTCCAGCTCCGGGTGCGTGACCAGCCCCTTGCGACGCGCCGAAAGATCTCGCGGTGCCATCTGCGTCAACTCCTCGGAGCGTGCCAAGATCTTGGAGATCGTGGACTGGTGCGGCAGATGCGTGAGCTGGAACTCGCGCTTGGCCCAGTGGCACAGCTCCTGCTGCGTCATTTTGACCTGCGAGAACTTGATGCACAGTTGCCGCTTTTGCAAGTTCGTCAGGTTGCCCATGGGCTGCGAGCGTCGCTTCTTCTTGGTGGCAGGTGGTGAAGGAGACGGCGGCGTTGAACCTGCTGCAGCCGGCGGCGCGGCGGCCGCTGTCGGAGCTGGGCGCTTGAGCATCGTGGGAGGATGCCTAAAGAGGGGGAAATGGCCGAGTGTGGGAGTCAGTTTGACAGGCGGGGAGAGATCGAGACCAGGGATTGGATGAAAAGAGATGCGGCATACACATGAATGGCTGAAATCGAAAAACGAGCACTTCAACTTGCACAAAATGGCGAGGATGGCCAGGACGCCATCACAGCCCACAAACGAAAGCGTATAACGAAACGAGAGAATGCATAAGTATGTACTACACAAGAAATCAACTTCAGATTGAAAACGTCTTTGGAATGATGTAGCGATATCTTCATACTCTCTTGTCTAGGCAGCAGGCGAATAAATAGGTGGAGGATATCGAGGACTGTTAGCATGGCACAGCGGCGTTACCAAACGGACGTCGTTCCAATACGCGCCGGAACTTGAGTGCCTTCTTGGCCAGCAGCGCGTTGGTACTGCTGCAAGTTTTAGTCGCGGCGTTGGCTGTCCGCACGAGTTCCGAGATCTTGGCCTGCGTGCGCAGTCGAAAGGTTTCACTCTGGAAGGAGACACCGTCTGGCTGCTGGAAGTATCTCTCGCTCGTCGGGATACTAAGTACCGACAGGGATAGCAGCTTGGCGGAGACCGACATGGTGGCGGGGTCCCCTTGAAACAGCGGCAGAGCTGTCTGCGTCGTTACCATTTTGCACGTTCGCTCTGGTTGAGGGAGAACGCTTTAAGTGTTGCGCGGTGCTATCGGAAATGAGCAACACCGTACCTGCCCTAAAGCCCTAATGCCCTGGGCTCCTGCCCTCAGGGCGTGCAAGTCATAAATAGATGCCGTTATTGGGCACAGAGTCGCGCACCGCTTTCTTCAGCCACGCAGCACGGTGAGTCACCAAAGACAAGGAAGCGGCGCTGGAATTTCGCCACCTTATCGTAGTAATACTTGGCAGCTGACGAATCCAAGCTGCATCTGATGAGTATTGCGGGTAGCGGCATACGCAAAAAGCCAGTCGCTCTGGGCGATACTGCTGGCAGGTGCAATATTATTTTTGAAGTTGAGGTTTTCAGTGATCGATCTTATCATACTACTGTAGCTTGCGACGGGGCGCAGTTTACTGACGCGCGTTTATTAATACCAATGGGGACCATCATCGCTGCACTTAGCGATGATCGATTTGAAGGGTCCATCTTGCCCATTGACATACTACTTGGTTGTTGGAGCTTTCCTGCCGCGGTGATACATGTACCAACATCAAAGCTTACGGCCCGATAGCGCAGCACTCATTGTATTAGCGTAACGACGAGCCCACACATCGGTGATGAGTTTACTTAATGATATTACCATATTTAGAGAACTTATCACAGACTGACCGTTGAAACAGTAGTAAATGCTCTT